TTAAAATGATCAAACCCAGTATGGGTAATAGGGAAACAGAATCCTCACCAATTCTACTAAAATATAAATTCATAAAAAGAGACTTGAAAAGCAGGGCAGCCATAGCTATCAGAACTCATAATGTGCAATTCTTTGAATTAGCAATTCCTGAAAATATGCACATATCCATACATTTACTACAATATAGTTTAATGTAAAAACTTATAAAAAAGGCAGCAACCTAAATGACCATCAGTAGAAAACAGACCAAACATAATGAAATTTCCATGCAAACAAGTTCTATAAAGCCATAAAAATAATGATGCAAATCTATAAAGTCTGACACAAAAAGAATAATTGTGATTTACAAGGACACAAAAAGAGCAAGTTACAGAACAGTGTGTATAATTTATTCACTCTTTATTAAAATTACAAAACATMGACATTTACATATAGAAGCAGAGACTCATTCAGCAAGTACATGTTGAGCTACAATACACATTCATTCAGTGTGTCTATACATTGATTCMACAAAAATGTACTGAACCTTTTATGCACTAGGCACAGGGGTGTACTTATCCATGCATCTGTCTGTCTTCCTCTAGAAAAAGACAACCACTGCACATCTGTGGAAAGAAAACACTCCAGCACTGGCTCTCTTGGGGTCTTTACTTTCTTTTTTTTTTTTTTTTTTTAAATATTTTTTTTAAGTTGTAGTTGGGCACAATACCTTTATTTGTTTATTTATTTATTTTTTTAATGTGGTGCTGAGGATCGAACCCAGAGCCTCGCATGTGCTAGGCCAGCGCTCTACCGCTGAGCCACAACCCCAACCCTTGGGGTCTTTACTTTCTACTTCACATATGTCCACATTGTTTGACCAAAGGTAATGTTAAGTAGTAGATCCTTCAATACAGACCATAAAGCTGACAGAAATGTTAACCCAATATAGAAAACTGTAACAGCCAAAGCGGGAGAGAGCAAATAGTCCAGGAAATAGCAAACCTTGAATAGGTACTACTGATAATTTGAGTGTGAAGCAAAGGCTGGGAAGATATTTTCTGGACAAACTTTATTGGGACTCCAGTCACAAGGATGACTAAAGCTACACGTAAATGGAGGCTTATCCAGCTTCCCAATGTTTACTGTGTTATCTGTGCTGACCATCCAAGAAGGCCATCCTCTCTGAGCAAGTTTTCTGACCTAAATGACTATAAACCCCTTCAACGTCTCTGTCAGGCACAAACTAAACACAAATATTCTAGTAAGAGAGATTTTTTTTAATTCACTTTTTTAACCTTTATTTTATTAATTTGTTTTTATGTGGTGCTGAGGATCAAACCCAGTGCCTCCACCCGTGCAAGGCAAACCCTCTACCAACTAAGCTACAATCCCAGCCCCATAAGGGAGATTTTTTTAAACCACAAATTGGAAAGTTCAGAAATGAGAAAAGTTTTGTTAGAAACATGCATAATTAAATTCCAGGTGGAAATACAGACTGCAGGAGCCAAGCAAATGATATAAATGAGTGGCGCAGGTCAAGACAACAGACAGGTGGGAACAGAGGGCAGCAGGCAGGTCACCTCTAAATGGGGCAGGCATGACTAATTATCACCACCTAGGGATTGGGGTCTAATGTTGCTACATCTTGATTTTTCCAAAGAAAGCTGAAAAACCACTATTTTCATCAGAAGGCTGAGGCAGGAAGATCACGAGGTCAAAGCCAGCCTCAGCAACTTAGCAAGATCCTGTCCCTAAATGTAAAATATTAAAATATGGCTAGGAATGTGGCTCAGTGTTTAAGCACCCCTGGGTTCAATCCCTGATACCTACCCCGCAAATATTTTATGAGAAATCTATTTTTGAAATGTTGGCAACTAATTAAAATTAATAAAAGATTTTGGATTGGAAACCCAAGGACATCTAAAAAGAGTCATACAGAAGCTTGTTTTAAATTTCTTCATGGCAACCATGATATAAATGTAAATGTATCAGCATTGTATGACAGAACTCACACCATCTATTAAAAGAAAAAGGGAGGGCGGATTTGAAGCAAAAATATTTAGATGATCCAGACTGTGCTACCATTAAGGATACTTGCCCATATGAAGCATGTCCTCCGAATGTAATTCTACGATGGGCTTGGACAGGAGAGGCTTGTTTCTATGCATGAATGGGAAAGAGAAAAAAATAATGAGTCGAATTATACACCGATTTACTCATGAGCTCATTTACTGCCAAAATGCAGATACCCACTATGGGAATGGAAAATACAGGCTGAGTATCCCTTATCTGAAGTGGTTGGAACCAGAAGTTTTAGAGAGTTCAGACTTCTTTCAGATTTGGGAATATTTGCCTAGACTTTATTGGCACATTACTTTATTAATCTGATGTGATGCTTAAAAAGTTTCAGATTTTGGAACATTTAGGATTTCAGATTTTTTGATTAGATAGATTCAACCTGAATACATTGCTTCTGTTCAAAGCCAGAGCCACTCCCAAAAGCTTTCAATTAATTACATTTGACCTTGTGCACGAACAATAAAAAACTCAGCAGAGGGGCTGGGGATGTGGCTCAGGCGGTGGCGCGCTCGCCTGGCATGC